TAGAATAGAATAGAATAGAATAGAATAGAATAGAATAGAATAGAATATGTGTAATGGAAGGGAAGGGAAAGGAAGAGAAGAGGAAGAGAAGAGAAGAGAAGAGAAGAGAAGAGAAGAGAAGAGAAGAGAAGAGGAAGGGAAGAGAAGAGAAAAGAAGAGGAAGAGAAGAGAAGAGGAAGAAAGGGAAGAGAAGAGAAGCTGGAAGGGAAGAGAAGAGAAGGGAAGAGAAAGGGAAGAGAAGAGGAAGAGAAGAGAAAAGAAGAGGAAGAGAAGAGAAGAGAAGAGAAGAGAAGAGAAGAGAAGGAATAATTCTTGACTGTTAAGACTTTGACTTTCAAAATGGAGGAAATAATTTCCATCTCGTTGGGTTTTCAGAGCTATAATTCGCACAACCCTTGTTTTTAATTCCATAGCAAGATCTTTTTCTGATTGTGCCCTCAAGTGGACAAATGTATATAGGAATGCCTGGAAAAAGGCTGGTTTCTCTTCCTACTTGGGTCTTATATATTACACACACACACACACACACACACACACACACACAAACACTCAGGAGCTGAAAATGCCCTCACTTTTAAACAGAAAATCTGCTTTTCCTGAATGTTCGATGCATTTTCCAAAAGCGACTGTCGCCTTTTGTTAAAGGAACTCTGAAAAATCTCCCCATTTTTTGACTCATCGCAAAAATAACCTTGCCAAAAAGACAAAAGTACATTTCTTGATTATAAGATGTTTAAAGTTTGGGGAACTAGTTTCCCTTACGTTGGTCTTTGACAAAGTTATCTGTGCAAGAATGTAGAGCTGGCACTGGGGAAATTTGCCGAATTAAGGAAGCGTGAGAGAGAAACAGAAAGTAATCTTGCTTTCATTTTGTTTAGTGTAAAATCAGACAACTAGAGTAAAAGCTTAGATGGGCTTTCAAGAGTGATATCCAGTGTAGGCAAATTAAGAAACAAATGTGCTGGGATTCTAGGAATGTATTTTATTGTTGTTGGGCAGTGTTTTTCAAATGTGGCAAATTTAAGATGTGTGGACTTCAAGTCCCAGAATTCCCCAGCCAGCAACCCTGCAACTTCAAGTCCATACAGCAATGCTGGCTGGGGAATTCTGGGAATTAACACAGTTGAGAAACAACTACAAAACAGACTTTCTGGGGAATTCTGGGAGTTGAAGTCCACACATCTTAGTGTTAACACAGTTGAGAAACAACTACAAAACAGACTTTCTGGGGAATTCTGAGAGTTGAAGTCCACACATCTTAAATTTGCCATATTTAAAAAAACACTGCAAAAAAGACTTTCTGGAGAATCAATCTACATTCTTACATCTCTGGCCAAATCTACTTTCAGATGAGAAACCAGAGAAATACTGATCTAGCATGAGAGATACTCAGCCCATAGATTTAAAAACAATAACGGTAAAAACATAACCCAATTATTTTTCCTTTTTTTTTTTGTCTTAGTCCACATTCTTTTTTCCCCACTTTTCCTTTACTTTCTGTATTTTGATCTGTGGCTCTAAAGTGAATCCGTGAAAGCTTGAAACGGAAGAATAGGGGATAGAGGGAGACGGGGTTATCTGGCTCCAGTAAGAGTTCCCTTCTTGGCAGGTGAACATGGAAACGGCTCGGTACTTCAAGTCGGACTTCGAGGAGAATGGGTCCATGGAGAACGTCTGCCTCTTCCTCAACTTGGCCAACGACCCCACGTGAGTCCGTAGCCTGGGTCCTGGGGGACAGGATGATGGGAACCACAGCAGCCCCCAGACCCAGAGGCTAAAAATTACGAAGAACAATTGCAAGAATTGGGTATGTCCTGACTAATTGAACGGAAGGACTTGGGTGGGGGGACGTGATGAAGATTATCCCAATATTTGACGGGCTGCCACAAAGAAGAAGGAGTCACCGTCAAGCTATTGTCCAAGCCAACTAAAGGCGGGACAAGAAGCAATGGATGGACACTAACCAAGGAGAGAAAGAACCCAGAACTAAGGAGGTATTTCCTGACGGTGAGAAAGATTTACCAGTGGAACAGCTTCCCACCAGAAATTGTGGGTGCTCCTACACTGGAGGCTTTTAAGAAGAGATTTTCGAAGAGATTTAAGAAGATTCCTTTGTCTGGAATGGTGCAGGGTTTTCTCCTTGAGCCGGGGCGGGGGGTGGACTAGAAGATCTCCAAGGTCCCTTCCAACTCTGGTATTCTTCTGCAGAATCGAGCGGATCATTACGCCCCGTCTGGCTCTGACCACCGCCGAGTTCCTGGCCTATCAGTGTGAGAAACACGTTCTGGTGATCCTAACCGACATGAGCTCCTACGCCGAGGCCCTGCGGGAGGTCAGTGGGTCGGTGCTGGGCCAGAACCTCCTGGCTATGAGGACAGGGGTGGGGTGGAGGGTCAGACCTGGCTTCCTCTCTGCTCTGTGAGATTTTACTTATTTATTTTATTTTTATTTAGTTTAGTTTGTCAAGCATGTATGAGAAAACAAGTATGAACATAACATAAAAACATATAATCGAGTTTGGAGCAGGTTACGTTGAGGTTGTATCTATTGTTTGCCCTGGTGCTCTTGTGGTTGAAGCTGAAGTAGTCATTTTCCTTCTCACTAAGGGACAGGCTGCTGGGTGGGCGTGGCCATGGTGGGCGTGGCCTAGTTGGTCTCCTGCATCATGGCGGGGGAGGGGTTTGCACTTCCCAGGCTCCAGAGGCTTTCCTTGAGCCTCCAGGAGGGTGAAAACGGCCTCCTCGGACTCCGGAAGCTCCCTGGAAGCCAGGAACGGGCCTATTTCTGGCCTTCTCGAATTTCCGGGAGGCCTGCTTGTTGCCCTCCCTGGGCTCCAAAGGCTTTCCTTGAGCCTCCAGGAGGGTGAAAACAGCCTCCCCAGGCTCCGGAGGCTCCCTGGAAGCCAGAAACGGGCCCATTTCCGGCCTTCTCGAACTTTTGGGAGGCCCATTTTTTGGGCCTCCCTGAGCCTCCATACATGCCCCGCCCTTCCCTGCATCCAAAACGGGCCGCGCGGGGACTCCTGGGAGGGGAGGGGAAGGGTGGGCAAGGCCAGCCAGCGGTGGGATTTGGAGGTTCTACGAACTGCGCAGAATCTTAGCGAGGGCCTCTCCCGAACCCCTGCGAACCCCCAGCAGCCCCGCCCCGCAAAGTTCTCAGCTTTCCCTCCGTAGGTCTCGGCGGCCAGAGAAGAGGTGCCTGGACGACGGGGGTTCCCTGGCTACATGTACACTGACTTGGCCACCATCTATGAGCGGGCAGGGCGAGTGGAAGGCAGGAATGGCTCCATCACACAGATACCCATCTTGACGATGCCCAACGACGGTGAGAAGGGCTCCACGAGGTCAAACTCTCGGCCAAGGCAGCAGGTCCCCGGGGTAGAAAATCCACGCAGGGTCTGGGGACACCATGCTGAGGAAGGGGATTGTGGGGGTGCTCTGGGACCACGAATGATGGAAAATGCAACTGGGCTGGAGGTGGTACAGGTAGTCCTTGGCTTACGAACACAACTGAGCGCCACATTTCCGTTGGTAAACAAGATAGTTAGGTGAGTTTTGTCCCAGTTTGTGAGCTTCCGCACCCAGGCCTCTCCTATTACTGTCTGCCTTGAGGTTCCTTTGTTGAGAAAGGGACACAGGTCACTAAAATTATGAAGGAAGAAAACAAAGCAAAAGTAAACTAATGGAACAATAAAATAAACAAGGAAACAGAACCCAAAGAAAATACATCAGTAGGACTAGTAAAATATATCTAAATTATATCATTTATATCTCAATCATCTCTCTCTCTCTCTCTCTCTCTCTCTCTCTCTCTCTCTCTCTCTCTCCCTACCTACCTACCTACCTACCTACCTCCCTACCTAGAAGAGCAACCAAGATGATTAGGGGACTGGAGCAGAGGTGGTATTCAGCAGGTTCTGACCAGTTCTGGAGAACCAGTAGCAGAAATTTTGAGTATTTCAGAGAACCATAAAATACCCCTTCTGACTGGAGATTTTACAGTATCCTTCCCCTGCCTAGCCAACCAACACGCCCACAGAACCGGTAGTAAAAAACAAAAAATTGAATCCCGCTACTGGACTGGAGGCTAAAACATATGAAGAACGGTTGCAGGAACTGGGCCTGGCTAGTCTAGGGTAGAGAAGGACCAGGGGAGACAGGATAGCGTCTTCCAATATTTGAGGGGCTGCCACAGAGAGGAGGAGGAAGGGGTCGAGCTATTTTCTAAAGGGCCTGTATGCCAGACAAGGAATAATGGATGGAAACTGAACAAGGAGAGATTTAACCTGGAAATAAAGAGAAACTTTCTGACAGTGAGAACAGTCAACCAAGGGAAGAGAAGTTGCCTTCAGAAGTTGTGGGAGCTTCATCCCTGGAGGCTTTCAAGAAGAAATTGGACTGCCCTCTGTCAGAAATGGCGTAGGGTCTCCTGCTTGGGCAGGGGGTGAGACTAGATGACCTACAAGATCTCTTCCAACTGTTATTCTATCCTATCCTATCCCATCCCATCCCATCCCATCCCATCCCATCCTATTCCTATTCCTATTCCTATTCTATTCTATTCTATTTTCTATTTTCTATTTTCTATTTTCTATTTTCTATTTTCTA